CGTGAATCGCATTTTATGCTCCTCGTCTATACGACCCCAACGCGCGGATTCTCTTCTCGATGAACACACTGACATATTTTATGGAGTCCAGCGACAGTTACATCGTCAAAATAATCTTCACTGGTTGGTTTCTCCATTGAGAAACAGAACGTTTTCTTCTGAATGAAAACTAAACTGTTTAAGGCATTGAAAACCAATTAGCAAAAATATAAATTTATAATCTTCTGTAATTGTACCTGCAAATCGTAAGTGCAGCAATATTTTCTACCATAACCTGGTTTCTTGTACGAAATTGGTGCAAGAGGAAACTAAAAATCAAGGGATTCTACTCTTTTAAATCGAGACCAACGTCGGTGCAGGAATCGCAGCTCGTCCAAACATTGGGACTGATGCGTGGTTCGCTGAAGCAGGTGCGAAAATCTGCATTATCCTGGTTTTCGACTTGGTTCGGCGTCGCGCTATCGACTAGGCACTCCAGCGCAGGGTCAATATTTAGCATATTAAAAATCACAGATTTTGCATAGAGTATGTGTGCATGAATAAATTGAATTGTTTACTTTTACGGAGCGTGGCCATGTCTTTCAGTACGTACATGATTTAAGCGTGCAGATGATGAGCGACATCGAAACTGATTCGAAAAACCCCAGCTGTACGTTTTGCAAGATACCTAAGGAAAATATTTCATCAATCGTTTATGAGGTGAGTCCATTTATCTTATTATTTTTGAACACATACCAGTTGATCTGGTAAATGCCAGATGAGGTTGTGCACTTCGATGGTACTCCAGCACTCGAAATAAATTATTTCAATAAATTATAAGCTATTTGCTGAAGTGACAGTGAAAGTCCTCCTTGCCCTAAAACAGTGAGCTGGATTATACTTCGTATTTGTAGACATTAATTGGTCGGTTGAAGCTGATTCTCACTGATTTTAGATTTGATGACTTGTATTTTCTATATGGATATTTGACCTCTGTTATATCAAGAGAGGTGAGAATAAAATTTTTTGATCGTGACGCGTGTCGGCCACATCTATTTTTGCCCTTTAACAAGTCAGGTATGGTTCTAGATTGACCAGCTGAGTTGTTTTTAGTACTGGGATGGCAAAGACTTTAAGGCATTTTTTAACGTCTATTCCATCAAACTTCAGTTTCCATTTAGCAGGTGCATAGAGAAAGGGGTACTCTTAAATTCCTGATATCAATAAGTGTTTTTTAAGCCTGATATTTGGTCATAATCATAACGGCCCTTTAAAAATTTGAGGGAGACATGACGCTATTTTTCCACTCATCATTACTTCGCCAATAGTATACAGTATACCCAGTGTTCGGTACAATCCATGCGGCAAAATGCCAGTCAGATTTCGAGAATTGATGATTATTTCGTAGTAGTGAGCATCACCGGATCAGTAATTTTTTTCAGTTCTCTACTCTTTCAGTAACTTTCATATAGGCTATGCTGGGGTTTCGTTAGAACTGTTTTAGAATATGATAGCTGAGTGGAAAAATAATTGCTCGTGAAATGCCGACGAGGTATTTCGAAGTTTCGAGAGCTTATTATAACGCCACGTGGTTATCAGAGATGCCACCTACATTTTGTCGATGCAAATTGCAAGTCGATTTAGTTTGGCTTAGAATATTCTGTAAAAGATAATGATGCATGATGAATACAAGAATGATGCAAATCAGAATGCAAGTACGTAACTCTTACATGTCATAAAAATAAGTTACCAAACAAGCAAAGAAAGAATAACAAAGTTCCTTTTATGATGATCCTTTCTGGTTTTTAATTATTTTGCTATCATTTAATCAAATATTATTAGCTCTGCCAGACTGAAAAACCATCCACCTCAGTAACTTTTCCATTTGGTCGTTTATAAAGCAGCTACCGCAAGTTTACCCGATACTGAAACACTGATTAGCAGATTAGTTCCTAACAAAAAATCGAAAAGGAATTTTTTGTAGCATGCTTTTTGTTCAAAATAGAACGACACCTTTTTTGTTGTGCGTGACATCAGACCAGCGGCGAAGTTCCATTTCTTGGTAATTCCCCGGAAACATTACGAAAACGCAAAATCGCTGAAGAAACATGACGCAGGACTCGGTACATTTTGCATTTCGGTGTAGATAGTTTTTGTCTTGCTTTTTTACAGTCCAAACAATGCTTGAAACTGGTCAAATGGTTGTAAGAAGCCAAACAAATCTCGAAAATGTTGATCTAGCTGATTTGCGGTAGGTTTTGTTATTTAATTTTGTGACGCTTTCTGTACATGTGCAAAAAAACGGACATGCTATTTTTTTCGATTGAATAGCAGAGCGATCAGTTTCAGCTCATATGGGTAAATGGCTGATAAATTACCACTGTAGATGGTAACTCATGTAAACCTGTCAAGAACAAGTGTATTTATTGTTGGGTGTTTTGTTTACCTCTTCTGAGATTAACAGAGCTTAAATAACAAAAGCAACCCAGGTTTTTGATATCTAACTCTTAGAAATTGTGCATAACATTTGATACTTTGCAATGTTTACTGCTGCGGCAAAGGTCATGCTCTTCTCCGAGAGCAGGACTGCCTGAATGATGCTTTTCCATTTTTTTTATTGTCCTCCAGCGCATATGCGGTCAGTGCGATATTCCCAAGAGTATTTTTGAATATATTATAAGCTCTTCTTCGGCCTTTTTATCAGACCAGATCAAGCGCCGGTTTCTGAGTTCATCCAATAGGTTTTTCAGACCATCGTCGTTAGCACCTGTTCATTCGTTACCCAGTGGTTCCATGGCATTTTTAGGATGCTGCGCAGACAGCGTTATATAAAGCTGCCTAAACGAGCTTCATGATGACAGCTTTCAGAATGATTGTCTTCTGGTCCATTCTTATTATTCAGTCCATCCATATGTTATATAACTTTCAATCATCTTCTGATGCCAGTTTGATACGCCCATTCATTTCGGGATCGTTAGTTAATACAGTTCCAAGTAACTTGAAGCAGCCTAATTCGTTAACTGTAATACCATTTTGTATCTTTGGACTGTCGATTGCGGTGACGTCAAAATCATCGTCATTTTGGCATTCGCCTGTAGCCTCACTCTCATAACGGTGTTGCACCCGCTTTCATTGAGCCCACTTGCCGAGTCGCACAGCAGTACGACATCATCGACAGGCTCAAGATTGTGAGGAATACCGATAGGTATCTCAGTCTGCTTCACTGAATAACGGTCAATACGTCGTTGTTATTTTGAAAGACGCACTTCCGCGTAACCTTGTCTGCCATGGTACTGAATAACAAAGGAGAGACCACCTCACCTTGGCAAATTCAGGCGGTAATGTTGAACCTGTTCGAGAGTTACGCATTAGTCATAACCGCACATTTAGTCCCTCCTGTGCAGATCTTCTGTCAGATTTGCTATCGCCTACGTAATCCCGTGGTGACCAATAACGCGCCACATTTTCTGGCGATAAACTGAATCCGAGGCTGTCTGGAAGACATGAAGCTTCGCGTACTAGCAATTCAGTTCGAAAAGTAACAGTACTATGCTGTTGTATTGTAGTGTAGCATAGGTATAATTGGTGCAAGTTGTACAGGAGTTTGTACCCGTCATTATTACATATATTCTGTACCTACAACGGTAACTTTCGACGCTATCGAACGTAAAATATAATGCACTCTTGTTCCCGTAGATGAATTTGTATGTATATCATGTGGTAATAAAACATTTGCTATTTACATATAGCACTTTTTACACATAATGAGTGTTTGTAACAAATTTTTCACAAATTGTTCTATTCATTTGTGGTGTTTTGCGTAATTTTGGTATTGAAAATTTCAGGTCTGGATTTCACTGGCCTCCGTTCAATACAGTTCGTCATTTGCACATGCATATACTGTATCCGACGTCTGAGATGAGCTTTTTAAACAAACACGTCGTATTCCGTTCCGGCTTGATCTTTGTAACGGTAAGGAATTTTTCTTGTGCTTAGAGATTTTTCAATAGAATTAAGCTTTAAGCCATTAGAATGATCATGCTATTAGTCTTTAAAACGTAGTTTTGATGATGATCGTGTATGTATTTATTTTTAACAGCTGTTGATGGGCTTTGAACTTCAGTTATTTTTTAGCTTCACGTTTACACTAGTTTGTTCAGTTTCACGAACGATAAAATTTCAAAAGTAATTAATACGTTGTACGTTTAAATTTTTGGAGCCACAAATGAGTTAGTCAATGGGACACTTTTCTAGACCGATTGGCTACTTAGGAGACTCAACAAGATGCCGGATGCGTAGAATAATCCACCAAAATAATTGGCCTGCTGATATCAATTATTCGTTTTTCATCGATCCCGTCGACGTTGAAAAATCAACACGACTCTTGCCATGAAAATTTTTACCAAATGATTGCATAATTCACTCGTTTTGATGATTCGAAGAAAAATGAATGCGCGACAACTCACCAAGTTAAATTCTGTTTTATGCACATGGTTTGTATTTGAATAATTTACTCGTTGCGAATCTTTGAAATCATCGTCAAGGTAGACTCAAGCACGTGACAAGAGAGTACCCTATTCTACGCAACTCAAGATTTTGTACCTATCTATTGCCACAAGAATGCACTTCTTTCTTCATCAAGATTGCGCTGTCTTGCTAACCGGTTTTGAAACTGATCAGACAGTAATATATGATTGATCGAAACTATCAGTACGGTATTCTGCACAAAAACATTTGACAAATAAATGAAAAAGGTTGCGTTCATGCATATAGCATTAAGTAGAACTGGAGACATATGCAGTTAGAACATCCGTGTTGCAGTGACATACTTAAGATTTTAAAAGGTGAGTAACATCACGGCGTAGTCACAGAGCAGCAGAGAAATACTGTTGGTGCGCTACTGATTTTAAAATTTAATTAACCCTGAAAATAAAATTGAAACATGAATGCGTTTATCACATTTTAGGAAGGCAACGATCAACAAACACTATAGTACAGTGAAAAGATGACATAAACATATAAATATAGAAATAAATGAAAAACGGGTAAAACAATAAACAGCGGAATTCTCCATTTTAAACTTTAAAATTGGCAGTTGTTCCGACGAAAAACGGAAAACCGACCGTGAAATGGCATTATTGCACTTGGCTGCGGCGACGAGGAAGAAACGATGAGACAAAAGTCCCAGGTATAAAACGGGTCACGATTCTCCGTCGATGGCGTTCCTTCGCACGGTCAGCTTGACGACGCCTTGTGCCTCTTTCAGCCTCTGCACCACCTCATTCGGAGTGGCGTCGGACACCGATACATCGTTGATCTAAAGGGGTATCTGGTAGAAAGCAAATAACGCAACCTTGCAAGCTTACCTTCCATATCCGGTCACCAATGCGAAGGTTGCCATCAGCGGCGGCCACGCTTCCTTTCATAATACCTTTGATGTAGATCCCTTCGTCGTTCAGGCGCTTCGCCAAACTCAGACCAAGTGAACCGGAGGCAGGCTTATGGAGAACTATGTCGAAAACACAGAAGGCAACGTCCTGGAATGCAGTTCGTACAAATATTGTAATAGCATCAACGCAATACATGAATCGTATGGTACATATCCAACGTTCCATATTACTAGGCAATCGAAAACGTAAGCCTACAAGTATTTTTTCATGTTCTATACAATAGATTATTAAGATTATGTCATCTTAACATCCATCATTAGTACATCATTGTCAATCAACATCATTAAAGTAAATTCCCCAAATTAAAGTGCATAATGTAAAGAAAAACAAGCTGGGCACCTGAGTCAGGGGCGAAGGCGAAGACCATCACATGGTGCCTGTTACGAATATCGTTATCTGGCAATCGAACGTGGCACAAACGATCTTACAGCTTGACTAACAACGACAACTAATAGCCTCTAGCCATTTCGTAGAAAATCTGAATGATAAGAGCCGTCGTTTAAATGAACGAAGCGAATATTCTGATGGACGATATTCCAGCCGGCAATTAGATGCATCGATTCTTTGATCGTAGGATCGGTGTTTGACCGTTACGTGTCGACGCCCCACTGACATTCATCGGACTAAATAGGCAACCCAGATAGAAAGCACGCGAAACGATTTATGATGGTCGCATCTTACTATTTCTCATAGCTGCCCGATATTTTGCAAAACTTTTCTAGTTAAATAGGTATTTTATCCCTTCTATGTAGGCGCTATTATTGTATTTATATTGATGTTATTATCTAACTTATTGCACTGAATCTTATGCACCGAGTTTGTTTTAGTTCTTTCGGGTTAGAGATGCACTAAAGCTAAACGTTAACGAATTTGTGAGCTCCTCAAATCAGAGTGACGGGTGGAATGCCATCGGCCGACTAGATCGCAACTATTAACAGAAAACAGGTCCCCTTACACAGACGCGCCAGTGTTTTTCTTAATATTAGCAGAAACGCCTGGGTGAATAGGAAGTAAAATCGTCCTCGCGACCTGTTACCGAATGCTGAATCAAGGAAAAACAGCTCATTTCCAGGCAGGCAACGAATAAGTACCTCGGTCCCAAATTAGAACTGTTTTTACTCATTGATTTTAACGCCATTCCGGTCCTTTCGGGTGCAGCTGTGATTTTTCGGCCCAGAGAAGTGATTAACAACTAAGAGTGTATGGAAAGCACTTTGTTTCAAACCTTGTGAAGACCAGTCACACCAGCAATCTTTTGAAGCATCCCTATTTCTGTCGCTTATATCCAGAACTACAGTATTGTCATCAGTATCCAGAACAATGCCCAACTATAAAGGGTACTGTGTCGACAGACAAATGAATTTTTTCACTTTTGTAAATTATTCATGCCCACTTCAGCCATGAGGTGTAGTAGGTGAATGCATATAGATGCATCGCAGGTGTAACTTCAGTCCCGAACTTGTTTATATAATAAAAACGACGAAAATAAGAATCTAGTTTATAACTGCAATTTTCTACATGCACCTCTAAGTTATTCAGTTGTGGTACTTCAACTAAATGAATTCGAGCATGCTCTCCAATGTTGTCATTTCTTAAGAAACTTTCCATGACTGAAAGACAACCACGTGGCGAATACATTTATTACAACTAGAACCCGGCTTTACATTATGATCGTCCATATGAAACAATTGAATGTTATCGCATAGTACCTTGGTATCAGGAGAAGAGTCCTCAGAGTGGAAAGATATGACGCTAGACTTGATCTTCGACCTCCACAGGGTCAGAGAAACCGGAGAAGATGCGTTTCTCAGTAAAGTAACAACCTGACTGTGATTGAGACCTTCGGTACATTTACCATTCACCTGAAATATACGTTATTTAAAAAACAGCCTGGGCAGCTCCGGTCGGATTGGACGTACTCCCGCCAGCCGATCACCTGGAACAATGTCCCGGCAAGACAACGCCGGCTCGGCAACGAGCTTCTTAATGTATATACGTTTTTGGCCTTTGCCGCCGGCTACCTGAATTCCTAGGTTGCCGTTCTGGTTCTTTTCAAGGGTCACTTCAATGAGATCAGCCTAAATACAAAGTATTCAAACTACTTTTATAAACACAAAGTTTAATGCCTCATAGTGTACTATCAAATTATCGAATCACACAAGGACATCGCATAAATTGGACCGGATTTCGACTGCCCCTGCAAAACCGTTCTGACTCGTGAAATGAAACCAATTTTGAATCCTGTTGATATCTGACAGAATTCAGTAATCCTCGCGATTCAAAGAACTTGCCTCTAAAGAGGGTTAATAGTTATATTCCAAAATCGACAACGATTATTTGATACTTTGCCGTGTGTAATAAATAACGAGTAAAAATTTACCGAATTCGTTGGGCTAAACTCGCATAACGAAATTGATAATAAAAGGTGAGATTCAGTTTTCGAGGTGCGAACAGATGCTAGCGATCAAGGGTCTGAAAAAACCACTGAACTTTTTTCGAGACTCAATCGTAGATTAATCAATGAACTAAAGGTGTCAAAATATGGAACGATTGGGGTAAGAACAAAAACAGAAATTAGCATATAGACAGAAGATGTGGCGATAAAGATAAAAAATGATACCACTTAAGCAATCGTGATATTTAAGTTTTGTTAACCATAGATGATGATTTATGACCATCTGCCCTTCATGGCATTGCAGTCATCCAAAATTTTGCCTGAGTTGGTCGATGTCCGAGTTTTAAAGGGTCTGCTCAGATGCTGACAACTCGACCTGCTCAAGCCGGTGTTGGCGTTCTGGTAGAACCCAACCTGGCTGATAGAATCACTGAATGGAAGCCTGACAGCGGAAGAGTGGCAATCCTTCGACTGAAGCTACAACAGGCTAAAACGCTGACCTTGTTACAGATCCATACTCAATTTGCAAAGAAAATATGAGTCCGTACTTCAGGAAATGGAATATTCACTGTACGAAATGCTGACTACGGAATCCCTCATCCAAATGAGCGATTTTAATGCATATATTGGAGCAGATATCTAAAAGTGCAAAGGCGCGATTGGAAAGTACGGTCCCATCGAACTCAACAATAACGGCATGAAGTTGTTGCGGTCGGATGAAACTCCACCGTTGCCAGTCCCAAGCCCCGACGAGAAAGGAGGAAAAGAAGTCTGTCATGGATTTGATAATGGTGTTACCTTAGACGCTCAGTAATGGATGTTCGCGTTGAGAGGGGCGCACAGCTGCCAACCAATCATCACTTTGTTGTTGGCACGCTGCGCTATAAGAAATGGAGTACCATACGAAGATCCGGTGGCAGAAGCAACCGAAGAATCAAATGGGAAACATTGTCTTCGGTGGACACGAGAGCGAAATTTGCAAACAACATCGCACCACGGTTTGAATAGATCCCACCGATGACAATCGATGTTGAAACCGAGTGGCAGCTCTTTATGAGCGGCATACTCGAGGCTGCCGCCGAATGCTGCGGATATGAACGGGTTAGCCTGCCTCCTGGAGGTCAGAAAAGGTTTTCATGGTGGACACGAGAGGTACAACTGGCAGTTAAAAGAACAAAGATCGGAAACAAAGAGCCTTCTACTTGCGTGCGATATGTAGAAACACTCAAGGCGCGTAAGTGATTCCTGAGAGAACTTCGGTGAGATGTTGGAGTCGAATTTCCAAGGGGCAAATAAGGTGTTCTGGCAGGCCACTGGCCGGCTCTGAGGTGATAAGAAGGGCAGGTGTATGAAGTCTATGAGTGTTGAAGGACAGGTCTGAATGCCCTCTTACCGAGAATAATGACATTCTTCGGTGATGGAGAGAGTATCTGAGGAACTTCTTAACCAAGAGCAAGCGCAAGAAAACTCGCCTCAAGGACAGTAGGTAACTGATATTACTACTCCTGTAGATGAAATCCAACAAGCCATAACAAGTGCTACGGGCACTTTCAAAAATGAATTAATTGTCTAAAGGCGCTTTACTGTTTGCTGATATCCACTGACATCTTCGTGGTACAATAGAACAGACGGATTCCAAAGACTGTTATTACTGACGCACGGCGGTGTCTTATTCTGTTGGTATTCGAGACGTGGTCATTAAATCTCTGAACCCGTTTGTTACATTCCATTTACAAGCTTCTTAGATGTTACTA